TCATAATCCGCGGGCTGCTTGTCATCAGGTATCATTTTCAAATTACTCAAGATATTCGTTACCCCTTGTAAAGCATTTCGAACAAACCGTTTCTGGAATTTAGATGGATCTCCAATCTCGACTATAAATACGTTGATGTGAAAGGTTATATTCACGCGTGCAAGATGTTATGATGAAGGCAGCTAAATGACTTTTTTTTTATCTTGCTTTCGCCTAATGAACCCACCGGTAATCGCAGGAATTCCTCTCTCCATTGCGGCTCCACGCAAAGATCCGTCGGGCGACGTGTTATGTACGATAATCTACACATCTTAATTGTTAGATCTGACAACTCTCTATCACAGTATGTTTATCATTATGCACACATCGTATCACTCACTTGCGGATTCTGCAACCTTGCCATCCATCTAGTTTCTTCATGCACCATATTCGCCCTAACGTACAAGGAATTCGCTCTTCCCTTTGACGCGGTATGCAAATCAAGCAAATAGTCCATTTTACTCACGATCCGGTCAATCAAATTAAATGCGTACACTTGCGACGTGGTGCCGTTGCGTTTTCCAGGCATGACGCGATTAAGATCTGTACCATCACTGAACGTCCGTTGGCTGGCAAGGTAGCCAGGGATGTTGGCCACGGGAACTGCAACAACGATGCCGTGTAGAGCGGTACAATCGAGCTCTTGAGACATTAGGCGGTGGATTAATGGAATCCCGTTTAGTTCGTTGCCGTGTAAAGCCGCTGTCTGAATTTTTTGAATCAACGAGTGTTATTTTGTGTTCTTTCAGCCCGATCATGAAATTTCTTATTTTTGAAAAATACGTACCAAACCGACAACTGGACCAGGTTTAACTCCCTATGATAATTGATGACACAAAGTTTCTAACTCGAATAAGTTTTGCATAAAAGAATCGACCAATCCACGCTTACTTTTCCCACCAATTTTGCATGATAATAAAACACACCTTGGCAACCATAACCGGAGCCTTTAATGGTAAACCCAAACCGTCTTCAGCCAGTATCACCCATAACAACGATATTATCCCGTTTGGAAGTACATCCAAATCCAACGAAGTCATAGTCGGAATGCTTGCATCCTCCACATTCAATGACGACAAGTCCTGCAAAGAAGGGGTAGCAGCTGGCGACAGTGGAACATGTTTTCTCCATATCTGTCTTCCACGAGATAACAAAGCCTCGTCACGCTCACTCGTTACAAAACTATATGTTGTGACTAATGCCCAAAGATCTTTTCCGATCGGAGTAAAACTATATCTGTTTAGATTCGAGCTCGGAGAAGCGGTTGATGTTCGGCTAGGAATGCACGTCAAATTGTAAAGACCGCTTGCATTTGTGATGACTATTTCTGGTTCGCTATGGAGAGTCGTCCTGAGATTTGACTGGACTTGTTGAGAAATCTCGTCTCTTTCGCTGGTTGTAGATGTTTTATAAAAGGTCCTGTCAAATTTCTTCAAAATTTTCTGAAATCCCGTTATGTTTGTATTAGCGAATTCTACAAAAGTGGAATATAGATGTATGAATGATATGCTATTACCGTACGAAATAAATGATGTGCGTAGATGAGAGTTACCATGAAGATATTCGAGCGTCTGTAACAATTCGGTCATATCTTTTCGCCTATAAACAACGACAAAAGGTCATGCTTAATACTCTTCAAATCCGGAATGTTCTTACCAAACCATTCGTACCATTGATCTTGCTCCTCTTGGGATAGACCTTTATGCCACTGAGTAAAGAGTGATTAATGATAGATGAAACAATTGTCCACTTGTCAGAACGACCAATCAAAATAATAATGTTACCCTGGAATTAAGTTCCCCTAATGACGCAGAAGCCTCGACTTCGATTTTTTCGTAATGTCTATTGACTTTCTCTAATTCAATAACTAGCATCTTGCGAAATTTGTCAACAGCCTCATTTAACATTATTTGGTCATTTTCAGTGTCTATAACGGTATTAGAGTACACGCATTAGATTAAATACTTTTAATTAGAATCTATCTAACTTATCACAAATACCTGATCGAGAAGCATTCTCGCGCTCAGCAAAAGCATCTTTTAAATATTTTTTGAGTTTTCTATAATCTATGTAATGTTCCGACCAGCCGGGAATAGTTCTTAAGGATAATTGTTTAGCGTATTTCATTTCTCGCTAGGATGTAACTGTGGTTGCAAAGGATAGTTTAGTCTGACGATACATAGTTTTGTTATGTGTTAACAAAGTCATACACAATATGTACCAGAAGCACAGCTCTTTTGCGGGTACAAGTGAATTACAGAGACTTGTCTCGATTGTTCATTATATATAATATCAGGCTAATCTAATTTCCCCGGCGATATGCGATATAGATAAGATAATATATTGATATCCTCATTTGGTAGCGATCAGCAATGACAGAATGCCAGTTTACACGTAATTTGGCATGGCGCAAGTAATAAATGCATTTTTGATGTAACCAGTCAAAGATAGTGATAATACAACCGCTACTATTATCACTGTAACAACTGTATCAATCATTACGGTTTTACACTAACGGGGTATTATAATTATAATCTTTGTTACAAATCAAAACTGGTTGATATGGATCAAACTCTAGATACAGCATAGCTATAAACTTCTGCCTATACGCTCGATTATAATCTGGACTTGTGGACCAACATTTATTCCATATTTAATGATGTGCTGACAGACTTAGTAACAATTAAATAATAAATCTACTGCTCATAAAGCTCAATAAGGTCCATGATATTACTATCACTGCTTGCAGTTGCCGGTTTCTGCAACATGTCGTTGTATTGACTACAGCAAACAAATTTAAAATAATATTCTTTCCACCAAGATACATTGTTACCGTAAGAATAATACCAGCAATGCCAAGCAGTATCTTGTATATTAAACTGTATTCTTCAGGCATATCGGGAACAAGTAGTGGAGTTGTTTTAATAGTTGTCGTGGTTGAATAACTAAAGGGACTGCATGCATTAGATAGTGAATGACAGATAAATAATTTTAAAGTGCGTCACTTTGATAGCAAAGGAATAAATACCCTTGAGTTGTCGACATTATCGTATGATTGAAATTATACCTAAAATTTATGAACAATTTGTATGTAAATAATACTCATTATTGTCTTTGTTACTTGTCCAACGCTTACCGGGAGTGCAGGGATCGTTGCAACCGCATAACTTCCTCCAATAACGATGCTAAGACCAAAAATAACAGCAATGTATCTTTTCATCTTTTTTGATACAATTACCGTCGATCTGTAGACGAGATCAAGTATTAGCCATTGTATTTCCATTTATGAGTGCGTTCTTTATTTGTCAACCATATATGACCTGGCAGATGCACAAAATCCGGAATTAGAAAATTGCACATTACGTGATGCAAATAAGATGAATTTTATGCCATAGCTGAAACCAGCAGATTTTATTAAAAAAACTAGGTACTAGTACCGAGTAAAGCAAAGATTAGAATATCAAAACAAGTATTAATATTCACATTTCAACAATAATAATGAGGATTCAGTTTCGTAAAGCACCAGTTGATCATGATGTTTTTATTAAGGACATGTATTAAGAGTAATAAGAATAAGGGTAAACACATTATAAACTGACAATCCTAAAAATGAAATAATCTCTATTATCTATGTGGCGTTATTCGAATTACATTCTATCAACAATGGTAATCGCAGCAAAAGAAAGAAGTAGGAGGATTAAGGGGGAACAAGGGAAAAAGGGCAAGGAAAAGGTTCCAGAATATAAACATTAATCGATGATTTTGCTGACTAAAGCTGTGGCACAGGCCACATACTTAGGTTTATCATTCTTCTTATCAGCTTCTCTCCGAACCCTAACGACAAAATTATATTGAGCATGCTCGGCTATCTTGTCCGATACTTTAGCAGTTCCTGCAACGTCAAAGCGCTTCGAATCCCGAGAAAAAGGAACGGAAGCCCCCTTGTAGGAAAGGGTAATGGGTTTTCCTTCAAGGTCGATATAACTAAAACTCCATTGATATTGCGCGGATTCATCTGGAACCTTTCCTGAAATGGTAACGGTTTCGTTTTGACCAGGTATAGGTATATCTGCTTGTACGGTAAGTAGTGGAATTGTATCACTACATTCCTTCCAAATAAGATGTTGCCTAATTATTCCAATTATTGGACTTGGCATAGCGTTGAGCGTGGAAAGCATAGCCAACAAGATGAGTGCAGCAATAATTTTTCGAACCATTTTCGTCTTTTCTTTTGGTGTGTAGATAGTTAGGTAGAGTTTTGTTAGAGTTTTGTTAGAGTTTTGTTAGAGTTTTGTTAGAGTTTTGTTAGAGTTTTGTTAGAGTTTTGTTAGGAAGGAAAGTCTTCTTTTTTGTTTTTCAGTGGAATGATTTGCGACTCAGTTTGACGTTTTCTTTATATAAGAGTAGACCCGCCTGTCCGAAATTTCCACATGGTTTGACCGTGTTGTAACATTATTATCCTGTACATGTGATGACTATAAAAGTCATTCGTGTTTGTGACAATAATGATCGATACGAGGGTCTTAAAATTATTATAAACTTTTAACTTCGATACAAAAAAGG